CCCCGTCGATTGTCCCCCTCCCCCTTTCCCCTTACCGAGAAACAAGTCGAAACAAGTCGAGTACAATTTCATTTGTCACGTAATGGCGGTTCGAAATTCAATTGGTACGTTCTATATTTCCGTCTTGTTCGCAAAATGTCGATGCAGAGAATGCTGAAAGATTCACGCATTGTCGTAACAAAGTCGTTGCGAACGAATATTCTTTCGTCGGACACGTCGTTCGTCACGTAAAATCGCGGCTCGATTTGCAATCCTTACTTTATGTACTTTTGCTTTCACCAAAATTGAGTCGTGCAGTATTGTCGCCCGGTGTCGAAAATAAATTTCGCGCGTTGTCGTATAAAATATCGTTAAATAATTATTACGAGTGATTATCTCCTCCTCCCTGCCATGGAATGAGTCGCCGGAATGTCGAATCTCCTCGCGCGCGCTTTTTACGGGAGTGCCGGAGTAAGTTTCGCGCGTTCACCGTGATGAAAATCGTCAAAATAAATGTCGAAAGTCAGTATCTCAGGAAACTACCCGTCGGCATCGTCGAACAAAATATCGCGCGTGAAACATCGCCGGGAATGCCGATTATCTGTGTGTTCATTGTGTGTTCATTACAACAAAATATCGTCTAACAATATCAAAACTATGAACAATAAGTGCCCTGCGGGACGAGTCGTCCGGAGGACCGAACGAGTCGTCAAGCATTTCTGGAGTTTGAAGTTTACATCACTGCATTTCCCACTTGCCGAAGGAGAAGCTGAATGACGGCGCTTTCATACATGTATGGTATGTTTTATTTGCTTTCATACATGAATGGTACGTTTTATTTGCGAATTTTTTGCGGCATATAGCTTTATTTTTAATTTTCCCTGAAAAAAGTAATAGTTTCGTAATCCTGAAACCTGTAAAATGTGCGGCAAACTAAGATATCTGTTCGATATGTTACATAGAATCGCAAAATAATTCTAAAAATAATGGATCATTTTTCAGCCATCTTAGATGTCATGGCCTGAGTATAGCTGATAAATAACCCGTTGTTCAAGAATTATTTTGTGATTCTATGCAATGTCGATGAGTATCGACGAAGTATTAACTCTAATCGTGCACATATTTTGTTGACCCCCTAGCACACTGGGTTTTCATTTGTCATTTGTGTTTTCATTTATTTAAAGTTTGTAAAAGTGTTAATAAAAAATCTAAAAATTTATGAATATTCTTTCAAGTCTATAGAATAGAATTATGTAAAGGAATGATCACAAATATTTTTTCACCTATTTTATTTTATTGGAAATATAAAGAGAAACGCAATGAAAACATAAGTCGGGGTCTATAATGACCCCAATATGCATGATTAGAGTTAAGATCAACGAGAGTTCGTATGAACGCCAATATCTGCATGATTAGTCTACGAGACAGCACGAATTTTATACTTTACTTCTCTATAGACATTTCATAAATATACACATATTTTCGGCTCGGTAATATTACATATTCCTGCAAAAATTCCATTTATTTCGCATATAGCTATCATTCGTAAAAAAACTTCTCAACTCGCTCCTCAGCATAGACATATAATTCGACTGTGCATTCAGCCGAAGAATCGTCAAATATTAGAAAGAGATATTTACTGTACGGGTACCATTCTGTCTTCGTCTGATAATGTATGTAATGGGGATTTCAGCCCCACTATGAAAGGATTTTTTACCCTACTACACGTTCTTAGAAAATGACGGAATGATACCCGTATAGCAACTATCTCTTTCCACTTTTTGACGTGTTCAAGCAAAGGGAGATGCGAGACCGCGCGGTCTAGTTACCATACTATGCTGCTCAGATTATCACAGACGACATCTATCGGCAGTCGGAACCAATTGTCGATAACGCGCCGCATTACAGAGCCCTTTATTATTAACGCGGGATTCGCGAGTTTACCGCCCGATCTTTGCGCCGCGCGGCGCTTCCCGAGGTGGCGGCAGCGTGCGAATTTTCGCGGATCCGCGAACTCTCTCGCAAGGCCGTCTTCGCAAACCTCCGGTTCTATGCTCGCAGCGTGCGCGCGGCGTTCGAACTTTCCCGCGTTTCCTCGCCGGTGGCCCTCGAGCGCCCGATGGCGTTCGATTTGGGCATTCGCGCGCTGTAAGCGTCACTCTATCCTTATCGTCCGTTACACGACAAAGGAAGACGGAATGACGCTCACAGCGCGTGTGCGTCCAAAGCGAACGTCACCTCGCAGCAACTCCTGCTCCTCCACCCGCCGGTCGGAGTCGCGATCCCCCCCACCTGCGCCGCTTCTCACCAGTCACGCGGTCACGCCGCGGCGTGGGAGTGGGGGAGTGTTTGGCGGCGCGTTTGTTTAGTTGCGCGCTGACAGCGACCGCGGTCGTACGAATCGGCGCGCGTGATCGCGTATCCCGGAAACGCCGACTGCCGGTGTCACATTTGTCGTTCGTCACCACTGCGCGTTATCTCTCTCTCTCTCTCTCTCTCTCTCTCAGAATCCTTTACGAAGCCGTTAACTATTCGCCGCGTCGGCAGTGTTTATTTGTCTTTCTCTCTCTTTCTCAATATTCGTGTCCTCGTTGTCCCGTCCCGTGTTCGTCCGTTCGTCCGCAGCGTTTTTTCGTCGTCCCACATCGTCGTTGCTTCCCGTTGCCTCTTGTCACCGTCTCCTCCCTCCCCGCCCCTTCCCCCTCTCTTGTCCTCATCGCGCTTTCGCACGTGTGCTGTGTCGATTGTTGACCGTCCACTCGTGACCGCCATCGCGAGATCACTACCACGCTGCTCCACGCTGCAACGCAATGTCTACGCTGAGCGGGTGATGGCAGAACGCAGAGAGGATGTCGCGCCGCAAGCAGAGCAACCCCAAGCCGCTGAAACGTGAGTCCCAAATTTGTGCTTTCGCCCCCCCCCCCCCCCCCCNNNCCCCCTCCCCCCGGCTTTTCCGGGCGAAGCCCTCGCCCGGAGGTACGTCGCGTCCCCCTACGTGCTTGCGGTGACACGTGCGATGTGTATATGTGTGTTTGTTTGCTTGTTGGCCGTGTGCGGGGAAGTATACCGCGTGTGCTTTGACAGCGTGCTTCTCCCGTCGCGTTTCTTTTGCGGTCGCCATGTTTGTTGTTGCGGATTTGAATTCGTCGAGTGCGCTTTTCGCGCGGCACTGACTCGGAAAAATTTTTCCAACACGCCGAAGTTGGCTGGTGAAATTTAAGCGCGTTTGACCAGGTCTCGTTTGAATTTTGAAGCGGGTAAGGCACCGGGAAGCGGCCGAATCGTTATTGACAATTGCAGGCAGTGACGATGTCGGCGATTTAAATGAATACGTCCGAGCATGTATCGTGCGACGTCTGGAAAACGATTCAATTGTAGGGTATCACGCGTCCGGCGCGAAAATTTAAATGAATTTCCGTAAGCTCGACACGAGTCGCGAGTGTCGAATGCTGAAGTATCGTTGAAAATCATTGCGGCGTGAGTCATTCGAGTTGCAAACTCGAACGCAGATAAGAAAATTGCGAACACGGTTGTAGATAATTCATGGTTCAAATTCATGTTTTTTTACTTTCGATTATCGTTAGCCGAACCAGTTTGTCAATGAGTTTATCGTCACTATACTTCCTCAGCTAGATTCGAGCGACTTTTAACGATATTTTAGTTGCTAATTTTTTTTTTTAACGTAGAATATCGCAAAACGATTAACAAAACGTTTACCCAAAAGTTTCGAGAAAAAAATTGTTTTTCGGCTTTTGCCCAGAATGTTTCATGGAAATCTCGCGAAATTCGCGCATTACCGTTAATATCGACGAATCGTGCGAAAAAAATTTTGTGGCTGACCTGACGAAAAAAATCTCCGCATCTTTCTTTCTTGATAGAAGCGATAAATTCCATCGAGTATAAATCAACGGCCGAATAAATTAATTTGCGACGCCGGCGAAGGAGAACGAGTTCCTCGCGGACAAAACGGTTCCTTCGTTTATTTTTTAGAGATTGAGAAGTGAGAAACTATTGACAATGTGCGAAAGCGCTTTTATTATTCGTTAAGTAGCCTCGGTTATCGTTAATTGTGAGTTTGGAGTTTATCAATTTTTACCATAAATACAGAGAATTTTTGCATTTATGATTTAAATTATATTAATTATGTACGTTGTTAAAAAATGCATTTATATGGACACGCGGACACATAAGTAATTTTTAAATCATTTTATTTTTGCAAGAAAAAAAGTTTCGATATCTCGGCATTCGTAATATCGTTTGTCGATGCTAATCGTGCGACACACACACACACACATATATATATCGATGTTGTTTTTTAATATCAGAAATAAAATATTTGAATTGAATCACATCGATGCTTTCTAACAGCGAAGTAACACTATATACTCTCAGTCATTTTCGCCGAATCTCTAATAGTAACATCCTCGACAAAAATCTCGTTGATCGCTTTGAATTTTCAGCGCTTAAGATAAAATATTTTATTGATCTCTCCTCCCATCAGGATATCGTTAAAGTCCCCGTAAACATCCGCCACGTCGAGATATTTGTGGGAAGAATGTTCTGTCTGGTAGTCTTATTCGGTTTCTTATTGGAATATGGGAATGATTCAATAACTTGTAGGTAGCAATGGATATGCAATATGCATACGCATTATGTACGCACGGCTGTAGTTATTTACACTGGCTTGGCGTGTATACTCCGAAATTTGTTTACGCCTTTTTGCCGTAGATGGCAAGAATTTTCTTGCTTATTCGATAGTGCGCGAGACGCGTTCAGTCGCCGCCGCTGTCGCCGCCGCCCGTCAACTGACCTTTCGATTCTAACGGGTCGCACGGTACAAGCACGCACACACGACGACTGACAGATGCGACCGTCGCGATTACGCGGATTTCGCGCGATTGTAATTAGCCCCTGCGATCGAACCGACAGGGTGTTTAACCCTCGACCATTGCCCATCGGCTCACGACTCGTATTTGCCGCCTCCTGTGGGCGCGCTGGCCTGGGCTTTGGGGAAACGACGTTTCAGTTATTTAACCGTGTTCCATATTCTGATAATATGATACAATATAACGCTCGTGTAATATTATTCCGATGATTCACTGTGATCTCATTTTTATTGTCTTCATATTAACGTTGTCTTTATCTTGTAGTTCGATTTGTAGCGGAAAGAACCCGTGATATTTCCCGAGATTTTTCTATTATATCGTTACGATAATGAATATTTATAACGGTAATCATTTAAGATACGGCTTGACTCTTAATTGTTCTCAGGCAGACCGTTTGCCCTGTTAGATCGTTACGCAGTGTCGTTCTCGTTATAAAAGTCGTATAACATCGTGTTGTAAGTGAATAAAATGAATATAAATATTAATGAAACCTGTTTGCTCTTTATATAATGCACGTGTAAATCTGCCCGATAATGTTTCGAGTCAAATTACAAATATTGGCCAATTTAGAGGCGAAATGATCTCCCGATCGATGAATCGATGCGAATATATTGCTGAACGTTCCTTCTTTTTCGTTAAAAAAAAACGTGCTTTTACACCTGTAACTCAACAATTCCGAACGCGTCGTAACAATCGCCAGCGACGTTTAAGTTAATTTAAGCGGTGATTTAAAAAAACAACTTGACGCGTTGTATTTGCATAAAAGAGACCCCCGAAACGCATTCGCAGGTGCATCGGTGAGCTGTCGCGTGATTTTGGGAACGTTCGTCTGCCGAGAAAAGGAGGGAACGCGTGAGCAAACATGAAATGATCGTTCGCAATTTTCCACGCTTTTCCGCAAATTGTCTTGGCGACTCCTCGCCTCCGTCGTCGCCCTATCCTCTCTCTCTCTCTCTCCTCTCGATCGCGAAACGATCGAGGCCAGACGAGATCCCGGGTCCAGATCAAGTCTGGATCCTTTTCGTCGCCCCCTCGCCCTTGTCGCGGGCATGCTCTCGCGATCACGTGGCTCGATCACGAAAGTTGGAACCCACTTTCACGTGGCGACTCGTCGGACCGGGTCCTTCTTTTTCTCCTTCTGTTTTCTCTCTCCTTTCCTCCCATCCTGTTTCAATCTCTCTCTCTCTCTCTCTCTCCCTCCCTCCAGTTTGCCCCGCGACGTTTTCGCCTCTCGCGAATGCATTGATTTCAGTTTGAGAAAATCGACCCTCGCGTTTATTGTCGCGAGTATAATTAAAAAAAAATTTAATTTCTCTTTTTTCTCTCTTTATTCTTGGGGTAAATCGCGCATTGAGAAATCGATCTTTCGTTCTGGAGAAATCAGTCGCAAGAGTAATTTGGAAAATTTCCTTATAATTTTTTCTCCCCTTCGCGATTTCTTCTACGATTTCATAGAAATTGAATTCAAGATCTCAACTCTGCCAAGAGTTGATAGATTACGTTACCAGGAAATGAGTCGCGGTCAATATTAAGGTTACCTCGGAAATCCTTTTCAATCTAGTCTCGCTCGTAATTTTTAAAATAAACTTAAGGAAGAATATACCGTTGTAATCTCGAGATCCTTGCAGTCTGCTTTTGATACACTTCAGAAATAAGTCATGTCTGTTAATAAAAAATCCTCCGAGGCGATTATATTGGACGATTTTTATCACTGACACGCGTTTTATCTTCTCAGGCGATCTTATCGCTCTCTTATCGATTTGTCGTACATGTATGCGATAACGTTATTATGCAAATTCGAATGCATTCCTACACTGTGAGGAGTTACGTCATTGAAATAACTTTACATACACGGGAATTAACCAAATTCCCAGGATCTCTTTCGGAGTGTCCTCTGGATCGGGGCAGGAAAATCGTGTGTGGGATGTCGCGCGGGCCCTCCCGTGGGATTCCGACGTTAATGGCCGCGTAATTATTGCGAAGCCGGCTCGTGCGCGTGACTGCTAATTGGGAGCGACCGTAATTGAGTTAATAACGCCGTGTTAAAATAGCGGGCCCGCCCGCCCCTCTCGCCGTCTCATCGTCTCCCTCCCTCCTCTCTCCCCGCCCGCCCTTTTCGCGTCATCGCCATGTGGATTTTTATTTTTCGTTTTTCCCTCACGCGAATTGCCGTCACCCTTTCATTTGCGTTTTTTAGCACGAGAGATTATCGCGCGTCAAGCGAACGTTTTGCATAATCGATTTCCCATCGATGCCATCGACGGTGTCGATCTGTTCTTTTAATGAATTTTTGTTGTTTCGGTTCACGCTCCGATTAGCACCTGAACACGTGTCTCTCAACGGTTTCCATCGTTGCATTATGTTTTGCTTGTTTTCTTTTCTTCTTCTTTTTGCGTGAAATCAACGATAATTTAACTTCGCATCGGTGTGTCAATTGTTTATTCTTTCCTTTATTCTCGCGATAAAACTTAATTCTCGCGTCTTCAAACTTAATATCAGTTCATACTGAATAATAAGAATTAAAAGCAATTATTTTTTACATATTATATATTCCTGAATTTTCTCAAAAGAGAGAGGTTTAACTACATTAAAGCGAAATTCCGCTGCAGCAAAACTCACCTAGAGAATAAGTAAAAAATTAGATCACCTCACCTCATTTACACTTCTGCTGCTTGACTCGCTAATTTGCGCCGTTACAATTCTTCGCAACTCGCCTTCCGCTTGAATGTTTATTAACGAGGATCGACGAAACAAAAAAAGAAAAAACCGCTCAACGCACCGAACATTCTTTTCTCTCGCTATCGACTCTCACGTTTCAACCGGCATCCCGTATACTTATCCGACTGACTCTTACTCCCATGTAGAAACGATTCCGCAAGAATCGGCGGCACTTTTACGAGGCGGCGATACTTTTCGCCGTGCATTGCACATGTGACGGCGATAACGATCGCCATCCGTGACTCTCGGAGCGGCACGACCGCGGCTTCTCCATCTCCCTCTTTC